AACCTAATAGCAATGGCCTCCACCTAGTAGTGTCCTTGTCAACCTAATAGCGATGGCCTCCACCTAGTAGTGTCCTAAACATAGTTTTCTCAAAGGCACCACTGACGGGCTGCGGTGCTCCATAGCCACTGTTTGGCTCGGAAGTGCCCATCCCATAGCCCGCCACCGACACGACTGCATCAAAGAGCTCGGGGGCGAAACAGCCCAGCTGAATAGCGCCAAAGCCACCCATGCTGTACCTTACTGTAAGGTCCCACGGTTCTTCTGGCTCTTCCAATCAAACATGCTTGCCAAAGCTGGTTTTGTCTGTTTCCCTTTGAATAATCTTGAAGAATGCAGCTCTGACGCCCCATTGCAATGATTCTCTCTGCATTGAACTCTGATGAAAGCTCGTTGATCTTTTCAGTAAGTGCATTCAGAAAATTGTAGTGCAAGTGACCGAACACAAACCCAAGCTCCTCCGGGAGATGGGAGTTGACAGGTTGGAGGCCATAGCTATTAGGTTGGAGGCCATCGCTCTTACGTTGGAGGCCATCGCTATTAGGTTGGAGGCCATCGCTATTAGGTTAGAGGCCATCGCTCTTACGTTGGAGGCCATCGCTCTTACGTTGGAGGCCATCACTCTTAGGTTGGAGGCCATCGCTCTTACATTGGAGGCCATCACTCTTACGTTGGAGGCCATCGCTATTGGGTTGGAGGCCATCGCTATTAGGTTGGAGGCCATCGCTCTTACGTTGGAGGCCATCGCTCTTAGGTTGAAGGCCATGGCTATTAGGCTGGAGGCCATCGCTAGTAGGTTGAAGCCAATCGCTCTTAGGTTGGAGGCCGCTCTTAGGTTGGAGGCCATCGCTCTTAGGTTGGAGGCCACCTTTCTTAGGTTGAAGGCCATCGCTATTAGGTTGAAGGCATTCGCTCTAAGGTTGGAGAACAACGCGATTAAGTTGGAGGCTATCGCTCGTAGATCTCTTAGGTTGGAGGCCATCCTTGGAGGCCATCACTCTTAGATTGGAGGCCATCGCTATTAGGTTGGAGGCCGTCGCTTTTAGGTTGGAGGCCATCGGTCTTAGCTTGGAGGACGGTATTAGGTTGGAGGCGATCGCTCTTAGGTTGGAGGCCATCGCTTCTAGGTTGGAGGCCATCGCTATTGGGTTGGAGGTCATCGCTATTAGGTTGGATGCCATCGCTATTAGGTTGGAGGCCGTCGCTCTTAGGTTGGAGGCCATCGGTCTTAGCTTGGAGGACATCGGTATTAGGTTGGAGGCGATCGCTCTTAGGTTGGAGGCCATCGATATTAGGTTGGATGCCATCGCTATTAGGTTGGAGACCATCGCTAACAGGTTGAAGGCCATCGCTATTGGGTTGGAGGCCATTGCTATTAGGTTGGAGGCCGTCGCTTGGCTTCTTGGAGGCCATCGCTATTAGGTTCGCTATTAGGTTCACAAACCCAAGCTGCTAAGCTCCTCCGGGAGTTGAGTTCACACAAAAGTTGGTTCCAACATGTTCGTGCATGTCCCCTCCCCAGGTTCCTGTCGCTCTCATTTGGGCTTCAAGCCCCTCAACAGAACAAGAAATCAACTGTCGCTGCCGCTCTTGCCCTTGGCTTGTCACTTTTCGGAGTTTTGGTAACAAGTAGCAAGTGCCTCTCTACTAGTAACAAGTGCCTTACTAGTAGTAACAAGAAGCTATTAGAAACAATATTAATGTTAGTTCATTATGTTAATAGCTTCTTGTTACTACTAGTAAGGCACTTGTTACTAGTAGCGAGGCACTCTGTTCCTAGTAGCCTCCTGCTGGCGCTCTTCCTTTTACGAAAATTTCGCACAAAGGTGAAAGGCTCTCAATCCCGCACGACTCGTCGTGCCGTTCTCGTTCGGCTCACGACTCGTTCTCTCTCCGATTTGCTCCGACCTGACTCGAAGAACTTTTGTGTGTCCAACCTCGGATTCGGTGGATCCGGATCTGTGTGCCGGTGGATCCGGTTTGAGTTCCTCAATCTATCCCTTGCGCATCTCAGAAACAGCTGAGTGCACTTCCCGCCGCATGTCCCTATCTATTGTAAGAGCCTCATTGTGTACAAAAGTACCTTTGCATTGAAGGTCATTCTTCGGACTGCACAATTCTGCCCTTGGCTCTTTCTGTGGCTGACTTCCTCAACAGAAATCTCCAGTGCATTGGTGTGTCTCAAGAAACAAGTGAGAGCAGCCAACATATGTCTCATCTCATCGCATGTCCCTAGTAATAGTACCCTTTTATATACATAATTTTACACCAACTTGCATTGCTCCAAGATCCTCCTTCTGCTGCAACTGCGGTGGCTGATTTCATCAACACTCTCTCCGGGATTGGGGCATCACAAAACATTTAAGTGCGTGGGGTGTCCTTCTGCCCAACCACCTCATGAAATTCAAAGGCTTTTCTTCAAAGTCATCTTCTAGGACAGCACACTGCCCCGCCCGTGCCTCTTTCTATGGTTGATTTCCGCACCTATATCGTGCAAATGTTGTCTCTGAAACAGGTGAGCACCCAGGATCTTTGCTGCATGTTCCTTTTCCTAAAAGCCTTTTAAGCCAACTGTCCTTGCTCCAAGACCCTTCTTCTGCAAATTCTGCCGCTGATTTCGTCAAGAGTATCTCCAGCAACTCAGGCACGTTGGCATTGGTGCAAATCACGACATGTTGATGCCTGCCCCTACTTATATATATAAACATAGAAATGATCTTTGATTGAAAATATATAAGTATAAGTATATATAAGTATATTATATGAACAAAGTTCTGGACTGCACAATTCTGCCCTTGGCTCTTCCTGTGGCTGATGTCCTCAACAGAAATCTCCAGTGCATTGGTGTGTCTCAAGAAACAAGTGAGAGCAGCCAACATATGTCTCATCTCATCGCATGTCCCTAGTACCCTTTTATATACATACCTTTACACCAACTTGCATTGCTCCAAGATCCTCCTTCTGCTGCAACTGCGGTGGCTGATTTCATCAACACTCTCTCCGGGATTGGGGATCACAAGACATTTAAGTGCGTGGGGTGTCCTTCTGCCCAACCACCTCATGAAATTCAAAGGCTTTTCTTCAAGGTCATCTTCTAGGACAGCACACTCCCCCGGCCCGTGCCTCTTTCTATGGTTGATTTCCGCACTTATATCTTGAGTGCATATTTTGTCTCTGAAACAGGTGAGCACCCAGGATCTTTGCTGAATGTTCGTATACCTAAAAGCCTTTTAAGCCAACTGTCCTTGCTCCAAGACCCTTCTTCTGCAAATTCTGCCGCTGATTTCCTCAAGAGTATCTCCAGCAACTCAGGCGCGTTGGCATTGGTGCAAATCACGACATGTTGATGCCTGCCCCTACTTATATAAACACCTCATAAATAGACACGATCTTTGCTTGAAACTATATAAGTATATTATATGAAAAAAAAAA